CTACAAGGAGATCAAGGAGCGGACATTTCCCTCACCTAGACCCAAAGAACAACAAATTCGGTTAACTCCAGCAACTACACCCGCTCTTGACTCTAATGGCGTCAATCCAGTCGCGAACTAAACCACCATCGCTCTTTAATAAGCACACTGACTGGGAACACTTTAGAGATCATTTAGATTCAAATCAACAATCTAATATCAGTTTGAAAACAGAGCTACAACTGGTAAGTGCAGTAGAAAATGTAATTACCTCGATTCAATCAGTTGCTACGAGTGCTACACATACTATCCCTACAAGGCAAGTAACTTATAACTGCACAGCGAGTGTTGCGAATCTAATTAAGGAGAAAAGGAGATTAAAAAAGATCTGGCAACGGACTCACGATCCGTCCGACAAAACTCTTCTGAACAGATCGACAAAAGAACTGAAGTACGCATTGGAAAGACAGAAGAACGAAGCTCTACAAGACTACCTCAAGAGCCTAACACCAACAGAAGCAACTGACTATTCGCTATGGAGAGCCACTAAACAACTAAATCAACCTAAGCAGAGTGTACCACCAATTCGCAAACCAGATGGCACTTGGGCAAGAAGCAATAGGGATAAGGCGGAATTATTCGCCGACCACCTCGTTAAGGTCTTCCAACCGTTTCCATCACAACTGTCTGATGAAGAAGAACGCAAAATAAGGCGTTTCTTGGAGTCTCCGTTCCAAATGTCGCTTCCAAAATTACATCAGAGGTTCTAAGGCAGCTGTCAACTGCTTGCCTGAAGAATGTTACACTTATTTTTAATGCCATCCTAAGACTTGGCATTTTTCCGGTACAGTGGAAGGTTGCACAGATTATCCTCATTCCAAAACCTGGAAAACCAAGTGATGCTGTCACTTTCTACAGACCAATCAGCCTCCTTCCGGTCTTGTCAAAACTTTTTGAGAAGCTACTGCTACGCAGATTACGACACTGACTACTGGAAAACCATGTCATACCTGACCACCAGTTCGGGTTCCGGTACATCGTGTAGTGGACGAGATTAGCAGAAGTCTTGAGGAGAGGAGATACTGCTCCGCTGCTTTCCTGGACATATCTCAGGCTTTCGATAGGGTGTGGCATGAAGGGCTGCTATACAAAATTAAGAAGTGCCTTCCCCACGTAT